AGGCAGAAGTGAGTAGTCTTTGTCGATAGATCTCTATTTTAGTATTTTGTCGATAGCGCTTTTTTCACGAATTTACATATTACGAATTTATTTGACGATTTTTGATTTATATCACGAATAATACTATAGCACATTTCTAATAGGTTTAACGAATTACATGTCATTTATTTGAATTCAAATTTATTTTAATGACTTAGTATTTACTAAAAAGATGTAATTATTTTTTGAAAAAAAAGTTTTTATATGGATTTGAATAATTGTTTTGAATTCTTAGAATTTTGTGCATTTGCAATGTACCTAAGTTAGTAGCGAGCGAAGCAACCCATATAAGATTGCGTTGCAATTTTCGGGGGTTGGCGAGCGTTAGCGAGCAGGGGGCGCAGTCCACTAGTTATACATACTCTAGCGAAAGTCAACATTTTTTATTATTATTATTTTTCTGTTTCAGTGTCAACTAACAGCTGTATAGGATGCATAAAGTACGAACTTTCTACGTGCATAGGTTCTTCTCTGAGTCTAGTGTGTGTGGTCAACGTGTCCTGCAATGACCGGGTGAAGTGGAAGCGCCTGCCAGATGGCTGGACACTGAGAGATCGTGTATTCCACATAAAAAACGTCCAACGTCGTGACAGCGGCATCTACATCTGCGAAGTTACTGATTACTTTGGAAGACTGCAATTGCGAGGACAGGTCTCCCTTGCCGTACAATGTAAGTACCACTCATAAAAACCACATGTGCAACATAAAGTTTTAATCTTTGTCAAAAATGTTGTAGTTAACGGGAATGGCCGAAATTGGTGGTTGTTGACATCCACCGGTGAATATATACTAGGTCTGTAAGATCCACGGCCCGGTATTCACTTGCCCGATATGCCCTACAAAATGTTTTTTGAATATCAAGTGCCACTGCCAGTATGCATTTAACCGGTACTACAAACACTGATGTTTCTCCTAATCCAACCTCAACGGATATTAAAATATCCAATTTATATAATAATATCAAATCGGATAAAACAAATACTTCAAACATTCACCAAAGCGACCATGTGATTGTTGACATTCACCGCCGAAAGTCGACATTCTCTTGATTTCGGTTGTTCACGATAACATATTTAAAGTATATCGATTGGGGGCCTCAATTTAATATAAAATATTAAATTCCCCCTCTTAAATAATTTAAGCGGGGGAAAACAAGAAACGAATTGAAATATGTCTAATCACTACATAAGAACTCTGGACACAAATATCTAAAATGTATTTTTTTGCTGGTGCAAACAGAATGAAGTGAAAAGGACGATTATTAAAAACACCCTTAAGTATTTCGAGGCAACCAAACTGGTTTTGGTTCTTTTTATAACATATTTCCTACCAGTTATTTGACACATTGAACGCTCGTTTAAATATTAATTTACACCCTTATTATTTAAAAAGATTTTGACTTCATTTTTAAAAAATATATTCTAACAGTAAGACATTCAGAGTGGTTATTATATCTTATTTTATAATCGGCGTTGAATAACCGACCCGAATCTGATCTAAGGACTTTCAATGTTCAACTCCGTAGCCTCGTAATTTTTATCCCAACACAGAAGACATGGTAACTACTGGATTAAAAATTGGGGGGGGGGATTTGACTTCGTAGAGGATTTTTTTTATGGAACTTAATCGTTTTTGGGTTTCATGGAAAGGAAAACAGCGGAAACCTCTCATTGTTATCCCGACTGGCTAAGGGATTCCAACTTATGATCCATGAACCACTGAGGATGTTGGATATTTTACATCAACTCTATGGTGACTGCGAACCTGGAGCAGAATTCGTATCAACCAACCTCCGCTGAGATAGGAACCTGGGTCATCTGAATGGGAAGCCATTGCTCAATCCTTTGAGCTACTACGACCTCAGGGTGATTATCATGGACAACCTATCAATATAAAATCTATAGAAAATATTATCAAAAGTTTATTCATAATATTTAACCATTTTATAAAACTTTAGCCCTAACTATTCCTATATGCTGGCTTACGTTACTCTCTGTTGTTAAAACCTCTACTTTCTGTAGTTAAGTTTTCCCATTGGTATCAAAACCTAAAATCCACTGATCAGTTTAACTCCAAGTATGATCTTAACAACTCTATCTTGAAATATTTCAGTTATCCAAGCTAAATCGACCTCCCAAGGCAAAGAATATAGATGCTCTTCATATTCCTTGCCCAATGGCCATAATTTTAATTTTACCTAAGGTTCAACAAAGTTCCGATAGCTCAGCAATCGTGACCATTGCTCATAGGGCTTTCTGCACTCTGGGAGAATACCAGAATTACTGAGTCCACCTTATGCATTGCTATCTAACTGATTTTTAAATAATCATTAATTTATTAATTAATTAAATGAAAAGATAATAATATACACACCGAAGAGCCATTACATTATGACCACCCTGTTAATAACATGCAGGACCACCTTTAGCCCTCAAAACTGCTAGCACCGCCGTGGCATTGATTCCTCAAGGTGCTGATAGGTAGTCTGAGGTATCTGGTACCAAGCGTTCACCAACTGGTCCTGCAATTCCCTCACATTGCGAGGGGCACGAATTTGGTTTCCTTAGTAGGACTACAAATGCTCTATTGGATTAAGGTGAGGGGAGTTTGGGGGCCAAGACATGACTTAAAAGTCACTGGAATGTTCCTCGACGATTCGCCCTTATGACATGATGCATTATCCTGTTGGCAAACACCATCCCCCGCAGGAAAAACTGTTGCAGTGAATGGGTGAACCTGGTCTGCAACTATGTTCAAGTAGCTTACAGACGTCAGGGATTGTTCTATAAGGATTATGGGTCCTAATGTGTCCCGTGAAAACATTGTTCCTGGGCGAGAAACCATGAAAACCTGGTCGAGCCCATTATTATAGATGGAGAGTGGTCATAATGTAATGGCTCTTCGGTGCTTAACTAATAAAAAATACTTTATCCGGGATTATTATTGTCGGTACATATTTGTGTTTTTAATCTTTCTTTCGCCTTCTCAATCTTCTTAATATACTAACATTAATGATCCAATTATTCTCACTGAAAGTAAATATTTTAAGAAAAGTAAACTATCACTAAAAGTAAATAATTGAGCCGTGATGGGATAGTGAGTCTGTCTTCCAAAGAGATGAACCGGATTCGAATCCTCAGTGATGGCAGATTGAAATCTTGCACATCACCTCTTAGATCAGAAAGCCTCCACACGGTCTTCCATAAGTAGTCCGCACAGACTACTTAAAAAGTGAGTCAGTTGTGCGCATGAACCCAAAATTTTTAATTAAAGTATTTGAGAGAAATTTATCATATAAATTTGAGAATTGAATCTGTAGTGGTTGGCAAGTAAATAATACAAATCAATAATATTTGGAAATAAAAAAAAATGTTAGTCATATATTTGCTACCACTTTCTTATTTTAACTATATTCTTTTAAAATTACTCATTCAGAGTATAAAAATCCTTCGCAGTGGTCTAATCAAACTACCTATAAAATACCGTGTGGAGGTTTTTGTGGTTTTTCTATCCCTATAAAGTGAAAACAGATTAGTACCCAATCGCAATTAACCTACATTGAAGGCAGGAAAATAATGTGCAGTTAGGAGTTATCAAATACAATATTTAATAAATTTCAATTCGGTCAAACACAATGTTCCAAAAAAAGCACAAAAATAAGATAATATTTTGAAATATTTGTTGACGGATATTTGTACCTGTGAACAAAATTAATCAGATTTAATCTGTTACAAAAATTATCAGATTCATGTAATTTAAAATCGATTTGTACCTGATACAGAAAAAGTTGGCAGTTTCCCATCTCGTAAAGTTCCTTTCAAAATCATCAAATATCAACTTGATAAATCATGTATAGAAATATTAGCGTATATACTGTGTTAGAATAATTTTTTTGAAGTTCTTAATCTTCTTTAATTGTGTCACAATAGATAAGAAAAATTTTCAATATACTCATTATGTAATAAATCAGTGCTAATAAATTCAAACTATTACAATCATTCATTAAAAAGTTTCAAAAACGCTCCCCGAACTTCTTAAAATTAAATACATTAAATGTAATATTCGCTAAGTTTTCTCCCTTATTCTTTTAAATTAAAATTTTAATCTATAAATAGTTTTTTTTTATAAACTACTCCATTTAAAATCCGTCAAATATTTTTAAATATTAAAGGAGTTCCAATTACTTCATGTAATAAAAATATTCAGAAAAGAGATTATTCATCAGAAAAAAAAATGAATTTATTTTAATTGAAGAGATAAAAATCTTAAAAGCACTTAAAAAACTGACTGAGCTTGCAATTTAAACTTCAGGAAATTATTATAAAGAATAAAAAAGATAAATAAAATGTTTCATTAGCATGGAATTTTTAATAGCGCAAAAAAGAAGAAATTAACGTAGACGTAAATGGAAATAGTTATGCCCAGAAACGTGAAAGCTCATCACAGGAAAGAAATTAAACAGATTAAGATAAAGCACGTTTGCCTAATGTCTTCTCTGCTTCTTAATTGCTTTGTTCTGCTTTACTAACTATTAATGATTTAAGATTATTAATTAAGAAATCCTGCATTGAAGACTTTTTTTATCTAAAGTAATCGTTATATATATATAAAGTTATCGTTATATATCGTTGTATATATATATATATATTGTCAGGGTCACGTGATGTAATAACACGCATTTTCTGATNAATCAGAATTTGATTTACCAGTTAATGTTTCGAGCTTTTTTTGTATAACTTTTTTTTTGTTCTAGATCCACCTGTAATTTTAGTGCCAAATCAATCAGATTCAACTGTCGCTGAAAGACTAGAATGTATCAGCGAAGCCAACCCACCGGCCAGTATAACATGGTTCAAAGACGATGTTCCTCTCTCAGCAGCGTGGTACAGCATTTCGTCCGAGACAGTAGACTGCATCACAGAGTCTCAGGTCCATCCTTACAGAGACACAAATTCATCATCATTCCATTCTCAGTTTCACGAGAACTACACATGCGTCGCGTCCAATCCTCACGGCCAATCATCTGTCACGATGCTTTATTCTGGTATGAATGCATTATTTTCCTTACTTCTCGACAAATGACACTATTGTCTTAAATTCGAGACTTTTTTTAATGTTTTGATGAATCAATATGTAAATTTTAAGAATTAATATGTAATAAAAATTTATTCTATCAATTAAGTAGATTTAAGATTAAAAATTTTACCACTTTTTTCTTTCGATTTGATTTTATATAAAATGTTTCCAAATCTTAATCAGAATTCAATTAACTTTACAAGAATATCAAGTATTCGATTTCTAATCGATTAATGCGAATCTCATGAATCAGGTCAGATCCAAAAAATCAGCGACAGCAAGCACACCGAAGCTGCTGCTGGTATTGAGTAATAAATTTGAGTTAGGAGCAAAACTTTTAGGAAAATAATAATGAATAATCATTCACTTATGGTTTTTACTTATGTTTTCTGGCGTGATTATATTCAGTTATAAAATAATTGATCGAAAGAAATTGTAATTTTAGAATGACTAAAACGCGTCAATCGAGATTTTTATGATGTTTTGAGAAAAAGAAGCATGGACAAAAGGTTTATACATAAAGTAGATAATTTTATCTTATTTCCAGAAATCAATAAAATATATTATCTGGGAAATGTATTAGGTTCTCATTTAATCAAATTTTCTTTACATCCAAATGCACCTCAGTAAAATATTATACTTTGATATTTTTTTTGCTAAAAATCGTGCGTCGATTTTCTTCCATTGAAATAACAAGGAGAAACGGAAGATAGACAGGATGTCTACCGGTCGCGAAAATTATCGAGACCTTTATTCTAAATTTAATGATTTTCAAGGATTTTTGAGTGAACTAATTTTTAAAATACAATATCTCCAAAGAATCTTATATAAAGGAATGGGAATTAGTTTTTAACACGTTGAATGCCACGGGGTCATCGGTGACCGGCGAAACCAAGATTATTAGAAACACATAATTCCAGTAAATTTTAAATTTTTTTATATTATCGTTACTAAAGTGGTTTGAAGAAATTAATGCAAAATAGAACAGACAAAAATAGTTTTATTTATATACGCAGACATGGCAATTTGTTCCGGACAGCGAATAAAGTTTTTCAAGTGGTAGTTTATTAATTGTGATTCTTGGTTTAAAAAATTCAATTTAGTAGGTGTTTATCCACCACTATTTCTAAACAACGTAAGCTTATATAATTTACTACTTTTTTTTTATATGTAATCTAAACCAATTAAAAAACTAGCAAAATCTGTCTAACATTAGCAAATTTAGTTTGTAGTTTACCATGTAAAATTAGCGTGGCATTCAATGTTTTATAAGAAAGGGTAATTAGCCCTTTGCACTCCAAGTGCTGTTTGTACTAATATAAGCACTTAACCTTTCAAGTTGTCCTAGTGTTTCGATTTTATTGGGCACCTGGTCCGCGAAGCGGCCCCTATCCCATTCATCTGGAATTTTAGAACAGTTTTGGTTGAACAATGAGGTAAGCAGGCAATGGAGTTGCTTTTATGAATGTTTCAAGCTCTTTGCTTGCCTTTCAAGTTGTAACATTGATGATAGATTAAGGTACATAAATTTTTAATTTTAGAGTGGTGACTATAGGTGACATATCGGACCATAGGTGACATATCGGAATGCAAATGGTTAACAGATCTATTAAAAGATAATTTTGTTTGAGATGGTAGACACTCTGTTAGAGAATTTTTTTCTACGTATGTCTATTTGTCACGTGGTTTCATCATTACGGCAATCGTCCTGCAACACTAGTTCTACTTCTATTACGTTTCCATGGTTTTAACATATCTAAGTACTATATATAAAAATCCAATGAGGTCGTCGCAGTTTTCCATTGTTGTCAAAACATTTTTATTGGGTGGAAAATCACAGATCCAGTTTTCCCACAATAATTTTCATATTCGTTTGGTTGTCATCAGCATAAAATTGATATAAGTCGTAAAGTTATTGTTTTCCTATAAATATTTTTGTTCCCCTCATTTAAAGGTTAAAATTACCTGTACTGTTGTTATTACGTTTTTGATTTTCCTTGATTTCTAAATTAAGAGTTTAGGAGGATTGTTTCATTATTATTATAATAATATAATTTTACGTTACATTTTAAGATAATGTTATTTAAATCAGTGTCTGATCTTATAAATCATTTTAATATTATTGTCTTTTTTCTGCAAGTTACATTAATATACTATTATGAATTACGGTTAAAAGAGATTCGTTTAATGATTCAGAACTTAACTTTCAGATTCATGCACAAAGTGATGAACTCAAAAATTATATTTAAAATGTAGATTAATTTGTTTGATAAGCAAAAGTTATTAAATTGCAATTGAGAACTCACCAAATTCGTTATAACAATATACTTTTAATTTTAAATGTTATTTCAAAAATGATTCTTTAGAAAAATGATTAATGTTCACTTATAGATCCTAATAGTATTATAAGGGAAATACTTGGACCTGGGAAGTGGAAGCACAAGTGTTTAGTACATGTATTTTTAGTTGTATAGTTTCAACTGTTTCATGCAGAAAAACAGCAGTTATTGCGAAGTTGGTGAGCGCCAACTAACAGGGGCTTAGCCCCCTAGAATTTTTAGGTTGTAACCGTCGTTGAACAGCTGACCCAATTTTATGGGTTTACGACTACTGATGTTCAACTCCGTAGCTTTGTAATTTTGAACACAATCCAGAAGACAAGGGAACTTCTGGATCGAGCATTGGAAGAAATTTGCCTTCGTGGAGGACTTTTCGATGGAACTAACCAACGCCTCCTATAACTGAAGGCCTCCACACAGTTTTTCATATGTAGTCCGCTCAGACCACTAGGAAGGATATCCACTTTCCGAACGAGTCACTTAATACAAAATCTAGTTAAAGTAAGAAAGTGGTAGCAAATATATGACTAAAAATTTTGTTTTATTTATGAATATTATTGGTTTGCCTTATTCACTTGTCAACCACTACAGACTCAATTCTCAAATATATATGATGAATTTCTCTCAATTACTTTTATAAAAGGTTTTGGGTTCATGCGCACAACTGGTTCACTTTTTAAATAGTCTGAGCGGGCTACTTGTAAAAGACCGTGTGGAGGCTTTTTGATCTAGGAGGTGAAGAGCTAACCCTCATTTGCTTTGCATGGAGAGGAAGCCCACGAGAACTTCTCACGGTTAGCCTGACGGTAAGGGGANAAGTAAAACTTTTTGAAAGTTTCGTTTGCTGCAAGGTATTTTGCATTAGAAAGCGTACCCCCGCTAAACTGTTCCCGTACCCCTGGAGGTACGCGTACCACTCTTTGGGAAACACTGCCCTAACCTATGGTGCGTCTACCACTGAGGATATTTCACGTCAGTACTGTGGTCGGTGCAAGCCGAATGCGAAATTCGTATCGACTGGGATTCGAACCCGGTTCACCTCATTGAAAGGTGAACACTCTATCTCCTGAGCCATCGCGGTTCTAACCCCCTAATAGAAAATAACGAGGTTTAGATTATACTCTGTTTCAATTATGTATAGTAAAACAATTTTATTAATCATTGTCCTTTTTAATAACTATGCTTTTGTTTCAGTATTCGCTGATGAAATCTCAGTAACTTCGACGACGGAGAGACGTCGATTCAACGTTACGGGTTTCATCGTCGGCATGCTTCCACCTCTCTTTATCTCATTCTACATTATCCTCAAGTTGGGTTACAGGTCACGATATGCTGAAGAAAGGGGGGAGGACGACGGATTCCGAGAAGAACCTTTTTTCATCAGCTACTAAAGACTCATTCCCTCGCCCACCTCAATAATGTTTAGAACAAGATGGTCAAATGCACTTTTAACTGCTCATCAGGGGGTCAAGGCATTGTGCTCAACACAGCTCACCTGATATTGATGGCTGGAGAACGTCCTGTGCAATAATATTCGTAATACAAGTATTTCGGTACTTTAGAACTTTTTTTAAAGAAGTTTACACATTTGTTTAGTCCTGTCCAAATCTGTCTTTAATTCAATGTTTTTTATCTCTTGCTTTTAGTTGTTTCTTACAGAGATAATAGTATTTGTATAAATCACGATTTATAATTGTTAGTATTACGGGGAACGGAAAGTAATGTCGTGTCGGCGCATTAAATATTCGTTAGTCTTAAAAACCCATTCATTTCTTTACATCCATTTCGATTCATCCGGAATTGAAATGTTGTTGCTAACGAGGATGAATGCAGTATTGATTAAAAATAAAATCTTGACAGCAAATATCAATTGCACCGAAACGGCATTACTTTCCGGTCCTTCTCATACATGATTTTTAATTTATTTACTTTTATTTTATCTATTTTTAAATCATAAAAAAGTTTCTTATGTATAGTTTCTCTGCTAAATTTATTAGCAAAAGTTAAAGTACTAATGCATCTATTTTAAACTTCCTCCAGTAAATTTTTTTAGCTTTTTTTTATATGTTTCTTACATGCTTTAAAATTGGAAGGAAATGTGAAAAAAATGGTGGACGTTCAAATAATTCGTAAGCACATTCTTGGCAACTTTGGAGACTCATTCCCATTTTGAGGCAAAAATAAACAAATCACAAACCCCATCCCATGACTGACTTAGAAGATCAGCAGGTTGGGACTTAGGATTTTACTGCAGTAATCGTTAAAAAAAATTATAAAACGAAAATAAACGATGTAACTTTGCATACAACAATGTATACATTTTAATTATTTTTATAAAACTGTGAGTAAAATATTCCTCATGAAGATTTGTGCTCAAAACTCTTGATTTCTAAAACCCCTTGAAATTCCTTCAATATTTTTCGTTACCCGAAATCACTCTTTATTCCAAATATGATCTTTTAGCGTGTTAATTTTTGTTTCAATTTTAATTTTCTTTTTAATCCCTTAACGACCTTATTATTTTCAAGAAAAAGGTCATAAAAGAGCCAATATTTGTATTTTTAAAAAATGACATACAAAAAGGTGTACGAACAATATATATTTTATTTTTGGAATTTTTTTTCAGCTTGAAATAAAAAAAAAACTCCAAATGTACTCATATGTGCATGTACCTCTAACCCCTTAATGTACACAATATTAAAAAATATTTTATCATAGAATACTAATTACGTGTATTTACAAAAAGAGCATAAGTATCTGAGCTGAGAGTACGAAATACATTTCACAAATAAATAAATTTGGATAATGCTGACATCTAGTTTCAAATAAACTATCTCCAGTTACATTAAAAATATTGTGGTGTAGCCATCTAGTGTGTAAAATTAGATATAAAAAAAATTCCGGGAACAAGAGATGGATATATTAAAATTTTTTAAACTTCCTTTTTTTTCCTAAGCTATATTTAAACCAGAGCGTTTATTACTTTTAAACGCTCTAGTCCGGAAATATCACTGGCACGAGAAGTAGGGGATGAAAGCTCACCCCGCAATTTTGACGGAAGCGAGAGGGAGGGGGTTAAAAAAAATTTAAAATATGCTGATTTTTAAAGTTTTACCTAAACATTTCTCATACCTCTTCTTCTCCATTGGCAGCAAAAATAAATGAATCACAAATACCAGATCGGTGCTTACGTAATATTTGATCGGATCTGTGCTTGCGTAATATTTTAAAGGTCCCTGGAGAAAAAATATTCGAAGTTTTAGCTACATTAAAAGAGAATCTTACCTCGTGTTCGGAGGAAAATACGATTCCCGTAAATCTCTTTAAAAAAATTAATGTCAAAACTGTATCCTAGTGATTATCAACCCTAATTATCAATGCATTGTGTGCATCAATAATCAGGGTTGATAATCACTCATCAGGGTCTCACTGGTTTCATAATTGAGTCCCTGAAAACATGCAAAAAAAATTTCTTTTATAAAAAAACCGGTGTACAAAAATCGAGAATTTTCAAGATTGTGAATGTACTTTCTCTACCGAGAAATACAGTACGTAATCCTACCCAACTGTTCATGATTTTGGCTCAATCATACTTTTATACATTAATTAGCAGTTTTTCCAAAAAATTATAATAATAGTTATAATAATGATAATAATAATAATAATAAAATGCATCAATGGGATGATTTTTAAGTAATTGATGCACGTTAAAACTAAACATTTAAATAATTTTAAATAGACTGATTGTTATTACTTTCACACATATGTTCCTATTCCACATATAATACTCGAGCTGCAATATTCAAAAAAGGTTGTAAATAATGCATAACTTGTCGTGACGTTTTAAACAATGATGCACTGTGCTTTGAAATGATTTATGTACATTTTCACTTTCCAAGTTTGAACTTATTTTTTTCATAACAATATTTTAACAAATGGAATAAGAAAATATATATACATATATTTATATCAGATCACACATTGTCACAAGAATTTTAGTTATTTTCATATTAAATGTTCATTTTAGATGTTCAACTGGGAAAATAGAATGATTAGCCACTATTTTTGCTGAACCCCCCCCCTACGATATTAGAGTGCGGTGTTAAATGCTTCGAAGTATTGAGTTGCAATCTTGGGGAAAACTAAAAAACAATAATTTCCGATTACATTAAACTACAGTTTCATATAAAATGTCACAAATGAAAAAGTAAAGCTTTTCAATCTATTTCCCATTGTCCTTCAGTTATCCTTCAACTTCTGAATTCAGTACTATTATAACAATACATAGATCATTGCACTATTGTTCCCACTGTACTGGTATGTTGCACTGTACAGTTGAAATGTTGATCAATTTTGCTCCTATCAGGTGCTGAATAAAGTAGCAAAAGCTTGATTTTTCTTTGGATTAAAGGGACCACACATAGAAAGCCCAAAGTTAAAACAGATCAAAGAAAGTGAAATTGCTTGAGCTATATTTATAAACTTTACATTTATTATAACTATATATACTAGTTCCGGGTACAACTAACACAATTATCTCAAGTTGGATAAAGTAGAAAATATTTTAATAGCTATCACACGAAATGTAGAGTGCTAGAGTAGATCAAATGTAGAGTGGAGATTCTTTTCTTTGCCTTTTGCACCAGTTGCAATTTTCTGCCTTAAACATCTTCCTAAACTACAACTTAGCTATAGTGCCTGAAATACCTTTTTAAAAGTTTCGATAACTAATATTTTCTTGCAAACATGTTGTGAGATGTAGAATAGCCTAGAAAATGCCTATTTTATAGCAATTACTTAAGGAATCAAATTTTATGGGATTTAAACGATTTTTTTTCCTTCTTCATTTAAAGTTTCAAGATGGAATAAAACCTCAGGGGAGAAATACGATAAACCGACGATTTGAACAAGGAAAGAGACTGAAATATATGGTTTGCTGAGTTCGGTTTAGGAGACGAAAAATTTATTATCACTCTGGTTCAAAATCAGTTACAAAATTCATCCAAAGATGTCGCTGACTGAGAAATTTCATGAACAATGTTTTTAGCTGCTTGTCAGAGTATTTTAACATAAATTTCTTTTCTTGTAAAGGGAAAAACAATGTGAATAATACCCCAATGAAAACACATAAATTGACATACTATATTTCCAATTCTATAAACAATAACCTTCCTTGGTGTGTAAACGTCAAAAAAAAAAGTACAGTGTTTAAACTTCAAAGAAAAAAAACGTTTTTGACCTTTATTTACTGAGAAAAGTTCTTGTTAGTGGAACTCAAACTATAGTATGTCAATTTATGCGTTTTCATTTGTATTTTATTCCCGTCGTTTTTTGCTTTCGTCTATATCGTACAAAGTATTAATCTTTCCTTTGTTGGTTCTTTTCTTGTCTCTTCCAAATTTGTTGTGGCAAATAGTAGTAGTATTGTAAAAAAGAGTGTTACATCTTTACTTTGTTTACAGAGCCATCTTATAATTGACTATGTAACTAATTTTGAATTTCGGAGTATTTTGAATTGCGGACTCAGTGTCCTAAGCCTAACTCAGCAAATCGTTAATTTCTATATCTTCTCATGTTTCTATATACGATTATTCAAATCATTCGTAACTTTTTGATGACCCAGTATTTTGTACGTGCTGTTTGTGTATATATATGTACTGTTTTTTGTTTTGATTAAATTGGTTTATGTTTTCAAGGCATGTTCTTTTTATTCAGAAAATTCGTGTAAATTTGTTTTAAGTGCATGCAGCATAACTAAACTAACTTATAACTTAAATTTCTTGATATAAACAGTTGTAAAAAAACTCTTAGTAAATTGTTTATTACTTTATTTAACTTTTAACTTAAACAAGGCGTATGATTGTGTATATATACCTGAAAATTACAATGTTAAAATCAAAAGTACATTTAAATTAATTTAACTATAAAACTAAAAAATAAAATGATGAATAAAAATTTCTATAAAATTTTAAAATATAGCTTAAGACTATTTTGAAATATATTGTTCTTATATGTTGTTGAAATATGTTGTTGTTCTGAAATATGTATGTTTGAAATCTTGCTGTGTTTGTTTTTTAGCATAATATTTTAATGGGCAAATACAAAGTTATATGCAAATACAGTTGTGGTTTTTCATATAGTATATCGAATAATTTACGAGCAACTCAATCGTAATAGTAATTTAATTTATTTAAATAAATATAAATCTGTTTTATTGTTATGCTGAGCTAGTTTAGAAAATTAAACATATTACTAATTTATACATTTTCAGTAATACTAGTTTATATATTTTTTATTTGAGTACGTAACTGATAATAATTTGGATTTTGTATGTATGAATTATATCTATAATCTGAAAAAGATTGTCCACTCTTATTTTATTTCCTTTATCATGCTTGTTTGGTGCAAATAGAGTATCAGTTTCATATTTTCTTTTAAGATTTATTGTTAAAATTCAATTGTATAAAAAGTCAATTTTGCAAATATTGAAAAAAAAATTATGAAAAACATTTATTTAAACCTATTTTTGGTTTACCAATTATGTTTGATGATTATGAATCAATCCATTCAATGAATTTTTAATAGTTCTGAGTGTGATTTATGAATTGAGTTATGATGGATATGATTCGTTTACACACCCTCCAGCAATTGAGAATTGTACGAAATGTTTTTCCGAGAAGAGCGGGACTAAATGGAAAATTCTAAAACAGAGGGAATTTCATTATCAGAGTCTAACAGAATGGCCATTTAGATACATGCTAACCTCTCCGGATTTGACAAAATCTTTAATAAAAAAAACGGTAAAGAGCTACTAACTAAAATTTGCAGATTTTGGGTAATTTTGGCAACTTTTTGAGAGGTTCAATTCGGCTTAACCGAAACAAGGAGGCGAATCACATAAGC